AATCATTAAGTATAATGTCTTTGTTTTAAGTACCTTTCTGTATTTGTTATAATATTCCACATAGTTTTAAAATTTTATATTATAAAAAAAAAAGAAGTCCCTGACCAGTTTGGCTCAGTGGCTAGAGTGTCGGCCTGCGGACTGAAGGGTCCCAGGTTCGATTCTGGCCAAGGGCATGTACCTTGGTTGCGGGCACATCCCCAGTAGGAGGTGTGCAGGAGGCAGCTGATCGATGTTTCTCTCTCATTGATGTTTCTAACTCTCTATCCCTCTCCCTTCCTCTCTGTAAAAAATCAATAAAATATATTTTTAAAAAAAGAAAAGTTATCGTGTTTTCTTTGATTACTGAATCCGAATTATTAACCAGTATCCACATTATTAACCAGTACCATACTGGTTAATGATGCGGATTGACTATTAACGGGACACCTAGTAAATGTTCCTGAGAAGATGGTCCTTGGGGCAGGAGGGAGGGTCCACCAAGGTGAGTTTGGCCGACTCCGGTGATCCCAGGAGCCTGCCTGAGGACACCACTGGGGCCTGCTGGACGGGCCCTGGTGGAGACAACTGCAGGCAAACATCAAGGCTTTTGCCCTGAAGGGAGCGCGATGGGGCGGGCGCTCCAGGGGAGGTGGGGAGCAGAGGAAAGTCTCAGTTTCTGGCCTGTGGCCCCTGTTTTCTCCCTAAAAACCAGGCGAGGCCATTGCTGATGGGGGCAGGGGCACCAGAGGTTAGAGATGATGAAGGGCCGAGGGCCGGGCAGCAAGCCCTGCAGGGCCTGGAGGTGGAGGGCGGTAGTGAGAGAGCTGGCCTCAGGGATGAAGGAACCAGGCCCAGCAGGAATGGGCCAGGGCCAGAGGTCGTCCAGAGCTGGAGAGGCAAGAGCTGAACCAGGAGGTTGAGGCGGCCCTTCCGCCAGAAGTCGGCAGCTGGGCAGCCTTTGTTGCACTTCGTCTCCCTCCAGAGCAGCCCGGGCGGGTGGGGGTAGCATAGACAATCAGCATCACTCCACACCCCTTTCCTGCCTGTTCCTTAAGCAGAACGAGCCGTTCTTGCTCAACCCCACCCTCTCTGGCCTCAAGAACTCCCAGTGGCCCCTGCGCCGGCTCAAGGGTTGGGTTGGACGTGCAGATGCTTGTAGGGAACACGATGTTCCACCAGGGCAGGGGCGACCCTGGGTGTCCTCCACCCCCACCCTCCACACCCACAGCCTGGATGTCTGCCCAGGGGCGGGGCTGACTGCAAATCATTCCTAAGAATTTTTTTTTTTCCAGAACAAAAGGCAGGAAAATTACCAAGAAAAAGATCCCTCCTGGCCAGGGTGGAGGCGCTGGAAGCACACCCAGTCCCTGGCACCAGCAGGCAGTGAGGGCGGGAGGGGGGCACTCTGGAAAGCCAGCCTGGTCATAGCAACACTCTTTAATATTTTTATTGATTTCAGACGGGGGGGGGGGGGGGGGACGGACATCAATGATGAGAATCACTGGTCAGCTGCCTCTTGCACGCACCACACACTAGGGATGGAGGCTGCAACCCGGACATGTGCCCTGACCAGCCACCCAGCTATGCCGCCAGACTACACAACACCCTTACGGACCTTTCCTGCACGCTGTCAACCAGGCCCTTGAACCAGTTCCCGGTCACAGAGGCTAGGCCCTTGGTTATAAACTAGCTTTACCCATTTACCAGGGAGGAGGGCAGCCCCCCTGGGAGCACAAGAGGGGAGACCGCTCCAGCCACTGGACCCCAGCTCCCGACTGCATGCCCAGGCAAAGCCCAGGGCAGGGGAATGGGCGGGGTGGCGGTGCCCACCCATAGCCCTGGCTCCTTGTTCCCAGAGGAGCCAGCCAAAAAGAGGCTCCGACTCATCCTTGTGGGCTCCCCTCAGGCCGGCTGCGTGAAACTGCCTTCAATCCTGACGCCCGAGTTCAGGGTCTGGGGCTCATGTGCCCTCTCCCCGCTCAGCTGTCCTGGTTGGGAAAATGCTCTGGCTTCCCAAGCTGCCAGGGGCAACCACCCCTTGTCTGGGCCCAGGCTTATTCCTGGGGCATCTGAGCCGGTGTAGCCTCACCTCTCACTCTGAGCTGAGGCTGGCAGCACAGCTCCGGGACAGGAGGCAGCGTCCAAGGCGACCCAAGGGCTGATCCACCTTGCCCGGGACGGATGCACATCTGTCCAAAGGCCGCTTCCCTCCTGCCCTGCAGGCAGAGCCCAGCCTCAGGGCCCTGCTCGTCTGCCTGGACATGGGGATGTGTACTCATGTCCCCTCAGGCCGGCCTTCCATTTGAGAATGAACATGTCCAGTTCACAGGAAGGAAGCTCAGATGTTATGCTGCAAATGCTGGTCTGCTTAGCTGGGGGTCTGGACTCTCGCTCTTCCTTTCCACCTGTTTACTAGAAAAAATACCAACCGCACACGCCCGCCGCCTCATCCTGGGCCTTGGAGGACCTGGCTAGGAGATGCTGGGTCCTGGCTTCCAGGAGAACACAGTGACCTTTGACCCTGGGCTCAGTGCAATTCTGCAGAGGAGGACAGGGTGGGCTTCAGCCAGGAGGTCACGGGTTCCATGCCAGGGTGTGGGATTGATCCCCTGGAGGAAGCGTGTAGGAGGCAGCCGATCTCTCATTGATGTTTCTATCTCTCCGTCCCTCTAAGAATCAATAAAGCCCGGCCAGTGTGGCTCAGTGGTTGAACCTCGACCTATGAACCAGGAGGTTGCAGTTCAATTCCCAGTCAGGGCACAGTGGGGTGTACAGGAGGCAGCCGATCAATGATTCTCTCATCATCATTAATGTTTCTCTCTCTCTAAAAATCAATAAAAACATTAAAAAAATAATTCAGCAAGCCGGTTTGGCTCAGTGGATAGAGCGCTGGCCTGCGGACTGAAGGGTCCCGGGTTCGATTCTGGTCAAGGGCGTGTACCTCAGTTGCAGGCTCCTCCCTGGCATGGGCCCTGGTCAGGGCTTGTGCAGAAGGCAACCAATCGGTGTGTTTCTCTCGCATTATTTCTGTCTTTCCCTCTCTCTCTAAAAATCAATGGAAAAACCTCCTCAGGTGAGGATTACAAAAACAATCAATAAAAAAACCACCACATAAAATAACATAAAAAGCCACTCACTCTCCCGAGGCCACAGCAGCCCACAGAGAGAAGAGCAGCACGGCCAAGGGCGGCAACAGGCGTGGAGCCACGCTCATCCTTGAACTAGGAGCCTGGGGCTGCTGTCCCGTCCGCCCAGAAAGACCGAGGGCAACAGCACTCGAGGAAGGGTCCAGGGCTGCTCAGTGGACCGCTGTACATCAGTCCTGATTCCAGGGGTGTCAATAGTGTCAGAATGTCCACAGCAGGTCATCGGGATTTGTTCACTAAACAAACGAGCTGAGCCAGACCTAACTTCTGACGCCCTAATTCAGAACTTAGTTAACATGGTCTGAATTCACAGCTGGCTGTCCAGTACATTCCTGGTTGACACACTGCATTTTGTTTGCATATCCCCTAATTAGGTAACAGTACACACTCCTGGCCATCATCTGTGATGGGGCATCCGTTTGCAGGATGAGCAAGGGAAGCAACATTCACACTTACCATGATGCCTTGTGAAACAACCATTTCCTTAACCACGATGTGACTTTTAATTCTGTTGTTATAAAACTGATGCAATAAGACAGCTGAGGATCCATTCAGGTAACTCTGATAGAACAAATCTCTAGCTTCCTGTCACAACATACACAGGAAGCAAAACCTCCTGCGACGTCCACTCCTTAGGGCTGAGACTGTGGACAACATGATCTTGAGGCTGTCCTGGCATTTGTTTGTTTTTTCACGAATTGATTTTAGAAAGAGATGAAGGAAGGAAGATTTGTTCCACTTATGTATGCATTCATTGGTTGGTTCTTCTAGGCGCCCTGACTGGGAATCAAAACCTTGGCACACTGGGACGACTCTCCAACCACCTGACCTCCCCAGGGCTGTCCTGGCATTTATTTATTATTGTAACACATGTCTATTGCTTTCAGAGAGGAAGGGAGCGGGAGAGAGATAGAAACATCCATGGTGAGAGAGAATCATGATCTGCTGCCTCCTGCATGCCCCACACTGGGGACCAAGCCCGAAACTGGGCCTGCGCCCTGACCAGGAATTGAACTGTGACCTCCTGGTTTAGAGGTTGATGCTCAACCATTGAGCCATGCCGGCCAGGCTGCCCTGACATTTCTTACCTGTTCATAGCAATACCACCACAAAAACCACAAAGGTCAAACCGTATTTAAGTAATTAAAGTCTTGGCGAAGGCCAGTTTGGCTTTGAGGGTTCAACTACCAGTTTCTGGGGCCCCACGTGGGTATTTTGTAGGGACGCCCACTATTTGGCCTTTGTACTGCCAGGTGTAGGTGAGACCAAACTGGAACACGGTTTTGTGGCAGAATGAGCCCCTTTGGTGACCTGTGGCAACAGTGGCCTGTCAGTCATTGCTGGCTCTGGTAGCCACGCTGCAAGAAGGAAATAAACAGCGTCACACAGAGGTGGCTCTGCTGGGCTCCATCGGGGAGCACATCTTCCCGGGCAAGGGATGTGCGGGTCCCCGGGCACACCATCCCCAGCAACTCAGAGCTGTGGTTCCTTTTATGTGTCAATTTGACTAGGCCCTGGGGTGTCCAGGCATTTGGTCAAACATTATCTGGGAGTTTTCTGTAAGAGTGACTCGATGAGATTAACATTTAAATCAACAGAGTCTGTCTCCCCCAGGTAAGAGGGCATTTTCCGTCTGACTGCCTTGGAATTGGGACACCGGCTCTTCCTGGACATTGACCTTGGACAGCACTGGGAGCTGGTCCGTGGCGCAGTGGGTGCTGACGTAGCAGTCTGGGCAGGGGCGGCACAGAGGTGAGGTGGGGCCCAGGGCACCGACCCAGCCTGGTCCTGGAGTCCAGGCCCCCTGCTAAATGAGTGACCAGATGGCTTGGAGCCCTGGTGCGAGAGGACAAACACAGGACACGGCCGCGCTGGAAAGTCAGACAGACCTGCCGGCCTTTATTAACCAAGAGCCAAGCCACGCCCAGAGCTTCCTTTTAAAAACCCAACCTTGTTTATGGCAAACAAATGATTTAATTGTGTTCAATACCATAGAGCAAGAATCAATCACTTCCAATCACTTATTCTTCTAAGATTAAAACACAAGAGTAAAACGGTTTAAAATAAAATTCTTCCCAATGATTTAAAAATAATTCCAATTGAAAGACATTTCAAACACCATGTATAATAGACTCAGGACCAAAAAGAGACTTTAAGACATTTTTACCTTTGAGGTAGCACAACAATGCTAAATTAGATTTCTTTTATTACAATGAGCTTTAAGAAAATAATGAGGAATCTACCTTTTGCTCAAGGAGGGTGAAATGGTTTTCTGCAAATCCCCCAGGAGGTTAGTGACAGTTTTCTTTAAAAAACCCTTTTTAAGTATAAAGATAGCCCTACAGTGTGTAAAAGGAACCCCATGGAGGCTGCTACCCATAAAACAGACATCAGAACAGTCGGGGAACCTCAGCAGTCACGGCAGGAGGAGTCAGAGGTAACTGTGGTGAAAGAGCAAAACGACTCGTATCTTGGCAAGACTGGTCTACAAGTGTGTGTCAAGAACAAAAACCCAACTGAAAACAAAAGATAAAAGGTGACATTCATGGGTCTTTTTCTCTGTGCAGAAATGCTCTTGCGATGTTTCTAAAGGAGAGACGGCTGTTGGTACACTGACACGACATGGCCATGCTGTGCCCTCACTGGTGCTCTGCCGGGGCGAGAACCCGGGTGGTAGGAGGACCACCACCTCCCGGCTGGAGGACCATTCTTGCCACTTCTCTGCCCAATTTGCTCATTAAACTGCTCAAACCTCCGCCCTGGATTCTGAGTCCATAGCAATGACATGTGAGGACATCGAGCAGGCGGTCGGAACACGTGGACCTTCCTTCAGAGAGTGGGTGACACACCGGGGCCAGAAGGAAGGATAACACTGCACCTCGAGGCTCTCGGAACATTCTCCACATCCAAAACCCACGAACAGAGGGATCATTTCCCAACACATGCTCTGCCCCTGAGGCTCAACCACCAGCGAAGGCCTTGCCAGGCAAGTGGGGGCCCCGGAGCCAGGGCTGAGCCTGTCTGCCACCTGATTCCCACGCTGCACTGAGACTGGGACACTCGGGCTCCTGGCACTTTGGTCATGGCTCTGTCCCATTTCACTCACGCTGGTCCCTTTAAAGTCTCCCTCCTTCAAGCCAGACCCCTAAGGGCCCTGTATGCAGTGAGGGGCTAGGCTGGTGATCCATGTGGCAGTCTGTGACTAGAGCAGGGGGACTTAGCCCTGACCAATCACGAGTGAGCCGGGGGCCGAGAGGCTTTTGTGAAGGGAAGACTGCACTAGAAGGGCAAGGGGCAGGACGGGAAGGCCCCTCCCTAGCAGCCTGAAGGAGTGACTCTGGCATGGAGGTCACAGTGCCCTGGCTCATGCTGGCATGGCGGGTGGGGGGAGGCAGAGGGGGCACCTGCTCAGGGTTCTAACAGAGCCCTGACATAGTCTGGGGCCAGACTTCTGTGTCACTCCTGAAGCCCGATGTACCTGCTACCTTTGCAAGACACTGGCGTGGTGTGGTTCTTGTCAGCTAAAGTGCAAGGTCCGCTTTCTTAACTCATTTGCTATGAAAGCAGCCCCACAGAAAAGAGCCATCATGAAAGGTCATGAGGAAAACCACGCAGCTTCCCACGCGAGCTTCCTGTGTTGGGGTATCAGCTGCAACCTTTCGGGATCCCAGGGCGGCAGCAGCCAGGGCAGCTGGGAATGCGCCTGCTGCTTCCAGCCCTGGAGCACGGCCGGGCTGTGAGCCACCACCGGGGCTCTCGTGACCGCACCGCCTGGGAACAGAGCGCGTGGCTCACGTGGCCTGGAAGGCTCCGCGCGGCTCCGTCAGCGTCCGCAGTAGGGACGACGAGGCCCCAGCATGTCACCTCCTAGGGACTTACTGAGTTACACAAGCTTTAAAAACATCGTATTGGAAAGGGCCTCTTGATTTAATATAAACTTGGCTACAATGCAAATTTCACACTGCTCTTAGGATCACTTCTAACATCTGTTTTTAAGCCATTCTGAAGAAAAAATTTCATTCTGAAATATATCTAGTTAATTAGGATAATTCATCAGAATTCTACCTGATATGATTAAAAGGTTTAAAAAGTTTTAAAATACAAGCTAAATTACTTTCCTTTGGGATCAACAACTGGAACCCCAAATATCCTAATATCTTAATTAGAAAGGCCTTCGCAGTAATTCTATAAAATTGAAAACGATGCCGAGTTTTGAAAACTAACAAAGAGTTGATCTTTAGAATAAAAGCCTGAGTCAGCTGACAAACTGATATATATGGATGTATCCAAGGGGAATTCCTAAATAGAGAAATATTGTTTTAATTTCAAAAAAATAGCTGCTGCTTCTTTTAAAGAGTTTAAAAATGGATGGTTCAACAGCGAAGCTAGGTGGTGCTGGAGCAGAAAGCAAGGCTCTTTGCAGTACCACCTCTTGCTGGCACCCTGCCGAGCCAGGAGAGGCACCTGGCAACTGGGGTGGCAGGAATTATCCAGGAAAGTGATGGGTCAGATAAAGTGATGGCACCTCCAGACCCCAGCTCCTTATAAACGGACAGCAATTTATTCATGCAAACTGCACAGAGATTAAACAAAACAAAATCTAAAAGAACTCCCCCTCCCCAACCCAGAAAACCTTCCCTCTCTGCTACCTGAAGAAAGTACCAAACCCAAAGGTTCTGCTCTAACATGGGCCCCAAGGACCGGTCAGCGTGCTCGGTGCTGACCCGCTGGGCCCGGGCAGGGCCGTCCCCTAAGCATCACTGCGAGTTGGGAGGCAGCTGTCACGTGTGCAGCTCTCAGCAGACAGAACAATGCCACAGGACCACAGGCCTCCGTCTTACTGCCAGCATTTCCCACTGTAAAACCAAAAGCTACAATTGTGAACACAGGTGGACTCCTCAAAGGACACACGAGATGGAAGGCTGCAGTGTTCCTCCCTTGAGAAAGGCCGGGCGAGGCTGCGGACAGTTATGCTACAGGCTGCGCAGACCTGTGCTAACTTCCTAGAGCAACAGCAGCAGCAGGAGAGGAAAGGGAGACGTTACACTTTGGACTTTGTATCAGGCACTTAATTGTTGGAGAGACATGCCGTTTGGAACCAAAGATGTGAAACTGGGCTGGAATACTCATCACAAGTCTAACAATAGGCTTTCAGAGCAAAGTGGAGGTGGGGGTTGGACCTCTACCCTCCTTTAGTGCTGACTTCCAAGTTTCCTAAACGCCCGTGGCCACAGCCACGGCAGCAGCAGTTCTGTCGCGTCTGCCGTGTGTGTGTCCTGTGGCTGACGGGAGGTCTCGGTGTCACGCTGAGAAGACTGCGGGGCGGCACACCTACTGCCCAGGATCGCTGAGATCCAGGCTGGAGCCAAACATCTTCACCAGCTGCTCCTCGTAGTGGGAGATGTTCCTCTTCATGATGTCCATGCAGGGCCCCAGCAGCCTCTCGAACGCTTGCACATCCATAACTACGTTGTTAGAGAGAGAGGAGGGAGATAATGAATTCCAGACCAACGACTCAAAGCCATTTCCTTCCTGCAAACCTCTTCTTCCACACACACATTCACGTGACAGGGGATTAGAGGGGGGCACTGAGCACTTGGGAAAAGAAGGGGCGCTTCTACGGGAGCACAGCAGGGCGGCGTCATCGGGGTTTGAGACTTTGCGGAGCCCGGCAGCTGTTGCTCTCCGCCCCACAGCCCTGGACGTCTGCTCTCTCTTCACACTCTGGTCCATCCCCAGCCTCAGGGGCAGCCTGTCATGTCCACAGGCGATGTCAGTGCCCAGAAATGTTGGTGAGAAAACAGTCACTCATTTCTGGTTGGTCACACTAAACTGCCCCAGCCTAGATGCAAGAACCGGAAATAAGCCGAGGCTTGCTGATGAGAAAAAAGCACTGCATGTGAGAAAAGAAGTATTCATGCATTAGGAGTTTTCTTACCTAAGCATTTGACGTCTCCCACAGCATAAGCAGAAGCAGCTCTGGGCTTGTTGGTCACCAGGGCAAGCTCTCCAAAGTATTGTCCCTTATGGCAGCGGGCGATCTCCACCTCCTGGTTGCCACCCTCCTTGTTTACTTTGGTCTGGAGCAGGAAGAGAGCAGGACCCGCTGACTCCAGAATCACAGTGGGCGTGTCCAGTCGCACACACGTAAGCCCCTCTTACTAGAGCAACACATTACTGAGCAGTGCACTTTGCCGGGACCCCAGCTGCACCAGGGGAACTGCATGGGCTGTGTCAGTGGCTTGGCTTTCACCTGGGACCTCCTGAGTCCCGTACCTCTCAGGTAATAGCTGAACAGCAAGAGGTAAGGCACAGGCCATTTCCTTTTGAATGTTTATATATATTATTATTATATACTTCACATTAATATGTTATAAGCAATTATAACATAGTTAACATGTTATGTATAACATACTATGTTACAATTATATATAATTAATTATATATAACACATCATTATTATAGTATATTATATATTTAATAATATATGCTATTATAATGTTAATATGCATTAACACATAACAACAGGTGTATTTTATACTCATATATGAATCCTCTTGGTTTGCTAGCTGCTGGCTTCCCTGGCACGGGGGGAAAGAGCGTCTGACCAGTTCTCCCTAAACGCCACGCTTTTCTCAGGGAGAGGGCCCGTCCCGGGCTGCTGCTTTTGAGTGGAGACCATGACTTTCCAGGACACACTGCGCAGTGCCCACTTTCTGTTTGGTATTGCCTACTTCTTAAGTTAGTGGTCCCATCCCTCGTTTTTTTAAAGAAGAATTAAGTAACTACATATTTTTTAAAATAATGTCTGACCTTAAAATTCGGTGGATTAACTCTGTATTAAGAAATCAAGCAGGTTGTAATCCATGCTTATCAGGTTACTGAAAAGAATGAATAATGTACTATATGTACGTAATATCTAGAGTTTCCTTTTTTAAAGAAACAAATCCCCCTGCTGAACTAAGCAATAACTTGTTCAAGTAAATAATTATTTAGAATTTTTAGTAAGAATTAGTCTCAAATCTCTAAGAGAAACTTTATGTTATGGGTAGATAGATGTTTTTTTGAGGGTTTATTAGAAAAATAAAAGTGCCACACGAGCTTACACGGCTTGACCATCTTTCCACACTCCTGCCCTGACCTGTTTGCTCTTATGTCAACCTGCCCCATTCACACCAACGCTCTTTTTCCTGTGTCTGTAGCAATCTCTGGGAGTACAGACATGGCGGTGCCGTCTCTTTCCTGGAATAGCACTTGCTGCACGGTCACACCAATAGCAGAGCCCTTGGGGTCTGTGACAGTGCAGATGCTGTTCAGTAGGTTGGGACAGAGCCCAAGACCCTGCATTCCCGACAAGTTCGTGAGCCCCCAGGGCCACAGTGCTGCTGTCCCACACTGCTGTGTGGCAGTGAACACCTGAGAAATGCACAGACATGGGTCAGCAGCCCCGCACTGTGAGCGAAGGACACAGAAGCTTCCAACCATTGCTCCATGGGAAACAGCAGGTCTGTTTTAAGTTAGCAATCAAGCCATCTGCTAAGCAATCATCGTAATTTTCTTTTTCTTTCTTTCTCCATTCTGAGCGTTTAATGAAGATTTCTCCAGAGGCTTCCTACTAGGCTGACAGTATTAGGTATAACTCACTACGTGAACAAATTCTATATTCTTCAAAACAGTGGGAACAGGGACATCTGGTGATGGTGTATTTATGGTGAGATCACTCTCCCTCCTACAGTCCTGGGTCTCTAGGTCTCCCTGCCCATCAAACAGCCAGTATAACGATCGTCCTGGAGACCTCCCCGCCCAGGGCTCCACAAAGGAAGCTCTCTGCATGTCCAACACCTACATGTACTTCTTAACTGTATAATCCCACCCATCTTCCATGAGGATGTTTATTTCTATGGATTTATAGGGCAATGTTTCTCCTATCATTGATTAAACAGCAGAGACAAAGGCAACAGGGACAAGAAGAAATACGCTGAGTCCCCACCAATGGACAGGCCTGAACAGGGGTCTCTGTCGGTCACATACCTTACCTACCAATGAGGGTGTTGGCACACTGACCACAGTTCACATTATGTAAAGCGAACAGCTGCTTTCTGTGCATACCCCTGGCATCTGGGTCTTCCCTGGAATAACTTGCATCGTCACACGTCAACTCACCTTGCTTTTAATCAAGATGCTCACTTCACCAGACTCTATAATGTAAAAGCTATCGGCCTTTTCACCCTGAAACGGAAAGGAGGTCAGGTACATAAGCACTGAAGAGGGGCACAGAAGTCGGTCATTTGTTATTGCCTGAGCTCTGATTTGATTTCTTTTCCAACCTACAAGTCAATCAATGGCTAAAAATCCAGAACAAAATGAGAGGATCCTGATGACAGGACGTCAGTCCGATGTCACTGACACAAATTTCCTGACAGGGAATAGTCCCAGCTTCCTCCACGACGGTGCCCAGGCTCCCCTGCACAGAGCACCGGCTTCCTTACTGCTCGTGCTGGCTCACTACTGAAGCCTGTGGCAAGGGATCAGCAGCCGAGGCTGCTCCAGGCAACATCAGGGCGACTCCTGGCCACCCTGGTCATGGAGCCCCAGGGTACCTGACCAAACGCAGCCTCTGACAGCACGGATCTGGTGGGGGCCTCGTTGTGGTGAGGAAGGTGTTCTGATGTGGCCTAATGTCACCCTTCGAGCCTCAGGCTTTTCTTTTGCTTGTTTTGACTTTAACCCACTTCACTGAACGAGTCATTCAGGTCATTCAACAAATAATTACGGGCTCACTCCGTGCCAGGCACTGTTCTAGTCCAGGAATGTGAGATACATCAGTGGACAAAGCGAATATCCCTGCCCTTGTGCAACTTAGAGTGTGGTAGCATGAACTGTAAACAATCAACACAGTAATCAGTAAATTACGCTGTTGTGTTGGGAGGCGGAAAGTGCTACAGGAAAAAGGTGAGCAGGGACTGTGGAGGGCGACGGAGGAGATGGCTACAGGACGGACAGAGCCTCACTGAGAAGGTGAGGTTAGTGCACAGGCTGGAAGGAGGGGAGAGGTAGGCAAGCAGATATGGGAGAAGGTGAAGGGCACAGCTTTCCGACCTTCCCCAGGTTTTGGCAGCCACAAAGGAAGCTTAGAGTGAAAAGGAAAGGACAATCCGGAAGAGCCAATACCAGAAGCCAAGGACAGCGGTGAAGGCCGCAGCGGGCATGCCAGCGAGAGGCACCTCCACGGCCCCAGAGGAGCTGCAGCAAGTGGGCCCAGCACCGTGCAACTTGAGCTCCCAAACGTGAGCGGAAAACGTGGCCCGAGGCCTCGCCGCGGTGACTCGGCCTCACCTGAGCGATGATGCGCTCTCCGTCCTTATAGGCCTTCTCTCCTATCACATCCACAATCTTCATTCGCTCTGACACCTGGAACAATACTCACAGTTACAAGGAACAGACCTCAACTAAAAGTCACAGAATATCTGCACACACAGAATGAGAAGAGCTTGTGTGGAAACCTCAACAACAGAACAGTTTTAACAGCTGCTCTGAAGCCCCCATGAAGAGAGTCATAGTCAATGAACTTTACCTCTAGTGATTTAAGGAGGGGCACAGACTCAAGAAATGTTTCGAACATCTTCCGTTTTTGTGCGTTGTTTTTCACTATGATTCTTCTGAAAGTCCCCCGGTCCTACAAGAAAGAATATGAAAATCCTGGTAAATGCTTGTGTAAGAGAACACCTCTGCTTTCACTAACCGGGCCATAGCAAATATTCGGACTATGAAAGGTACTAAGGCAGATACTTCAATCTGAGAAAAAGCTGTAGCCTGAGCCAGAAAGAGGTCTCACTTGTTGCTTGCTATAGGCGCCACCTATGGGTCAGAAAGAGAATATAAAGTGAAAACTCCCCAACATTTGTGAGCTTCCAGCCTGTCGCTGCTCAATGTGAAAGGATGCACCTTAAGAAAAAGGAGATAAAACAATCAGATGGCTTTTGCCCTCAAGGACTTTACAATCTCAATGAGGAGACAATACAAAATAGATAGTTATAAATATAAATTTGTCTGGGACCCAAAGGAGGGGTAGAATTTAAATAGAGACAGGGGAGGAAATTCAGGATGGAAGGCAGGCATATGAAAGGTACCTTGACCCACTAAGTCATGGATTCATACTTGGGAGACTGTTAACCAGAGCTATAGCCAGGCACCTCTCAGATATGCGAGGAGGGACATGCAGCCAGGAGAATGCTGATTGGTTCGTTTTAGGCTTCTAAATGGTCACACGGTTATGTGTACCTGAGTTCATGGTAGTTTTCTTCTACCTCAGGCTGTCAGTCGTGGAAAGACACACTGGGGTTGGGGAGAACACAGTAAGGACATCCTACAGGCTGGCAGGGTGAAAAACAGCAAGAAGCTAATGGCATGGTAAGCTGTAGGTTTGCTATTTTACTCCTATTTCATTAAGTACCAAAGCCCCACGCGCTCTCCCTGGCTATGTTTGCTCTGCCTTATAGACGTCACCTACTGCATCCTACAGGCCTCCTGTGAACCATGCAGGCTCCCACCCCCCTCCCTAAACTGCTGTACAAATAGTGCCTGCTCACCAGCACTCTGCCAGGTTCCGCCCCATTTTCGTTAGCCGTCTGCTTGCTATAATGGCTGCATTACATGCCACTACTTTTTCGAAGTCCAAGGTTAGTCATTTAAAATGTTACTTTTATACTTTGGAATATTACTCCATTATCTTTAGAATTCAGTTTCTACATGTTTTCTGGGCCAATCTAGACCAAGAGTGCTGTGGAAAGAGAAAACAATCCAGGCTGTTCTGGAAAACAGGAATTAAAAAGTTCCCTTCTTTGTGTTTGAGTAGGCATGTCCAAAACAACAACATCTTTAAGAATCTATCGATAATGGACTGTTAGAGATCACTACAATGGCAACAGCAAGCTATTCCAGCTGAAGAAGAAACAGCTGATACCTTCTAAGCGACTTCATTCATGTCCCACCCCTTCCACGCCTGCTTTCACACTTTCCAGAACTCCATGCTGTGCAAAGCCCCTCCTGACACACATCCACCAGCTTCCAGGGCCCTCCAAAGGTGGGGGGACACACACGCACGCCCCTGTGCAGTGGCCGCTCCCTCAGGCAACGCGCTCAGAGTCCAGCAAATAACCCTGAGGATCAAGAGAGAAAGAACCGCTGCCCTCCTGCGCCTGCGAGTGCGTGAGGGCGTTCCTACCGCCCGGCCATCCTCAAGTCCTCCCTGAAGTGCTGAGACCCAGCCAGCGCCTTCTCCTTCCACCTCCAGGATCTCCCTGCTTGTTGGTTGTGTGACATGTAGAGGTTTTTAGTTTAAGAGATAAGAATATTGAGGAATAGGGTTATTCCACATCGGCCTGAACCAGCAGTCAGCATCAATGCATTTTATTTTATTTACTAAATTATTTCAATCTTCACCTAAGGATATGTTTTTATTGATTTTAGAAAGGAAGGAAGGGAGGTGGGGGAGAGAGAGAGAGAGAGAGAGATAAGTCGGTTACCGCCCATACTCACCCGGATCAGGGATCAAACTGAAAACCTGGGTATGTGCCCTGACTGGGCATTGAACCTGCTACCTTTTGCTGTATAGGACGATGCTCCACCCAACCAACTGAGCCACACCAGCCAGGGCAACACCAGTGCATTTTATAACAGAGTTTACTTCCCCGCATTATTTATTGATCCATCCTGAGTTTCCCAACCACTGAGTCCCAAAGTGTGTGATCAATTCTGAAGCCATTCTATCACTCATCTCTCAGGAGCATTCTTATTTTCTTAAGTCACAGTAAAGTACTCTATTAATACTTTAAAATGTGTTTTCAGCCGAAACCGGTTTGGCTCAGTGGATAGAGCGTCGGCTTGCGGACTGAAAGGTCCCAGGTTCGATTCCAGTCAAGGGCATGTACCTGGGTTGCGGGCACATCCCCAGTAGGAGATGTGCAGGAGGCAGCTGATCGATGTTTCTCTCTCATCGATGTTTCTAACTCTCTATCTCTCTCCCTTCTTCTCTGTAAAAAATCAATAAAAAAATATTAAAAAAAATAAAATGTGTTTTCAAAAAACATTATTTCATTTGAGGAAATATGTTGATAATTCTAGGGTATACATTTAATTCTGCTTGTAAGGTAAATAGAAACAAATTACAGAAGCCAATGTTTTAAGAGTGGAATATGAAACATGTACAAGAGAATGTTCTGTTAAGAAGGAAGAGAGGCCCGGCCGGGTGGCTCTGTGGCTGAGCGTCGACCTATGAACCAGGAGGTCACGGTTCGATTCCTGGCCAGGGCACAGGCCCGGGTTTTGGGCTCGATCCCCACTGGGGCATGCGGGAGGCCGCTAATGATTCTCTCTCATCAATGATTCTCTCTCATCAATGATCTCTCCCTCTCCCTCTCCCCTCCTCTCCTCTCTGAATCAATAAAATATGTATTTTTTAAAAAGGGAGTGAGTTGTACATTTGAAGGGAGGTAGGCCATGAATAGTAAAGGATAGGGAGCTCAGTGTGCTGGGCCTACGGCATTTTAGGAAAGCTCTCTTTCCCAAAGTATGGCCATCAGCCTTTCCTGTCATCTAAATCTAGTGGATATTGGCATGGGCCAATGCACAAGTAGATGGCTGAACAGAGAGAAAAGTTAGTGCTGGAGCTAGAGATGCGAAATGCTGCGGGCAGAGCACTCAATGGCTCCCTTTGCTAGGCTGTCTCCAGTAGAGAAAGCTGTCCCCGCTCTCCTTCTGCTTGTCTCAAAAAAATCAACAGAAAATGTGACAAGAGCTGACAGGACTGCGAGGGCATGAGCCATGTCACTGCCCTGCCGAGGGCATCAGCCCTGTCACTGCCCTGTGGCGTGGAGTACACGGTTTGCTGACAAACCCCTTTGGAGAAATGGAGGATGCACTGGTACCAGGCCTTCTACCACGTCTCCCAGACAACTGGCCGTAAGACGCGGGGAGCACCAACACCAAGGACAGAAACCCCGGAGCAGAGGGATCCACGCTGGGCCACGCAGGGAACCTCTCTCTACTCACCAGCGCCCACAGGGCGCCCTCGGAAGTGGCCACGATGGTAGCAGCCCGCGGGGTGTTATACATCAGAGCGAGTTCTCCAAAACTTCCACGGTTGTCATACTGACCAACAGCACGGGTGTGATCATCTTTTGTTACTAAAATATCGTAAGTTCCCCTGAAAGTATAATAAGAAACAATTTCACTTACTAATTCTAACAATAAATTTAAGAATGGTAGGTAGTATATGAACAGAAGGTATGTAAGATAGAAAACATTGTAATAGGGGATTCCCAACAGATCTTTGCATTTGGACTTTGTAGTCTCTGACCTTGCTAAAATCAACTAGTAGCTTTTTTCGTAGCACTGCTTTCTCTTCTACACTCTAGAATCTAGAGGGTCGTGTCATCGTAAACAGGGTTCTGTTCCCTTTCCAATCTACATGCTGCCCACCTGCCCTCCCTCCCTTTTCCTTTTCCTTATTGCACTGGCTAGGACAGGGGTGGGCAAACTTTTTACTCGAGGGCCACAAGGGGTTCTTAAACTGGACCGGAGGGCCAGAACAAAAGCACGGATGGAGTGTTTGTGTGAACTAATATAAATTCAAAGTAAACATCATTACATAAAAGGGTACGGTCTTTTTTTTTTTTAGTTTTATTCATTTCAGACGGGCCGGATCCGGCCCGCGGGCCGTAGTTTGCCCACGGCTGGGCTAGGACCTACACACAATATGAAAGAGAAGTGATGAGAGCAGACATCCTTGTTTTGTTCTTTTGTTTAAAGGTAAAATACTCAATCTTTCACCTTTAAGCATGATGTTAGTTATAGGTTTTTAAAAATGCCTTTAATCAGGTTGGAGAAAAGTCCTTTCTGTTCCTAGTTGTGGAGATTTTTTTAAATATATAGATCTTTAAAAATATATTTTTATTGATTTCAGAGAAGAGAGAGGGAGAAAGAGATAGAAACATCAGCGATGAGAGAGAATTATTGATTGGCTGCCTTCTGCACGCCCCACACTGAGGATCGAGCCCACAACCCGGGCCTGTGCCCCGACCGGGAATCGAACTGTGACCTCCTGGTCCATAGGTCGATGCTCAACCACTGAGCTATGCCAGTTGGGCTGTGGAGAGTTTTTGATCAAGAAAAGGTGTTGAGCCCTAACCGGTTTGGCTCAGTGGATAGAGCATTGGCCTGCGGACTCAAGGGTCCCAGGTTCAATTCCGGTCAAGGGCATGTACCTTGGTTGCAGGCACACATACCCAGTGGGGGGTTTGCAGGAGGCAGCTGGTCAATGTTTCTAACTCTCTATCCTTCTCCCTTCCTCTCTGTAAAAAAATCAATAAAATATATATTAAAAAAAGAAAAAGAAAGAAAAGGTGTTGAATTTTGTCAAATGCTTTTCCTGCAGGTACTGAAATGATTGCATGGGTTGTGTTTCAGTCTGTTGAAAACTAGGATGTAGAACTGATTAAAGTAAAAAAAAACCCCACAAATACAATTTCTCTGTTGATTGATAATAATTGCTAAATAAAATATTCAGAAATGACAAGCATTTGGAGAAATATACCAAATATACTCTCTCAATATACCACTGAGGCGAATGTAAATGTTTCAAATTTTCTGCAAGATAATGAACAACATATAGCAAATTGCTTAAAGAGACCTATTGGCATAGCAATTCCATTTCTAGAGAGAATTCTAAAGAATATAATCAAAGACACTGAAAAATATTTAATTATAGGGATGCTCACCAGGTAATATTTTGACAGCAAAAATTACAATTTAATCTGCTAACAATCGGGGATAGCTCAAATACATGTCTATGTTCACATTATATGGTCAATATAAATGATGACATAGAACACTACTGCATCCCCCGGCAAACTACTTAAAATCAGGCCACACAACAATGTGTGACCCAACAAAACAGCATGCATAGGTGAATGTGACAGTCAACTCCACTCCGATGTTGGCCTGTCTCCTTCTCAAGCCCTGCCCTACCGACTGCCTTCCTCCTCTCCCTGGCAGCTGGGAGGTCTGAGAAGAAAGCCTTGTGCTCCCTCCTCTGGCAAATGCAAACATCGCCAGTGCCAGCCCCACCGAAGAGTGCCCTCCCCCAGCCCCACCTTCTAACCCCATGAAATTCCAAGCCGTCACTTCTCCGAGTCATTTTTGGACTTCCTGGGGGCTTGCCTTGCTCTCCCTAAAAAGCTTCATTATGTGAGTAAGAAACCTTTTTTTTTTTTTTTTTAATATATTTTATTGATTTCTTACAGAGAGGAAGGGAGAGGGATAGAGAGTTAGAAACATCGATGACATCGATCAACCTCCTCCTGCACACTCCCTACCGGGTATGTGCCTGCAACCAAGGTATATGCCCTTGACCGGAATTGAACCTGGAACCCTTGAGTCCGCAGGCCGACGCTCTATCCACTGAGCCAAACCAGTTAGGGCTTTTTTCTTTTTTTTTTTAAAACATGACCTTCACTCTTTTTTAAAGTTTGTTTTCCTTTATTGCTTTTTAGAGAGGGATGGAAGGGAGAGGGATAGAGATAGAAACATGGATGAGAAATATCGATCGGCTGCCCCTGCATGTCCCTTATTGAAGATGGGGCTCACAATTTGGGATTGAAAGATACAGATGATAACACAGAATCACAGCTATTCTTCAGGAAACCAATTCCCTTGAACACTGGCAAATAAAATGTTTAAAAAGCACATCCTGCCGCCCTCGCCGGTTTGGCTCAGTGGGTAGAGCATCGGCCTGCGGACCAAAGGGCCCCGGGTCAATTCCAGTCAAGGGCACGTACCTTGGTTGCAGGCTCCTCCCTGGCTTGGGCCCTAGTTGGAACTCGTACAGGAGGCAACCAATTGATGTGTTTCTCTCACATAGAGGTTTCTGTCTGTCTTTCCCTCTCTTCCACTCTCTAAAAATCAATGGAAAATTATCCTTGGGTGAGGGTTAAAAATAATAATAATAAATAAATAAAATAAAGAAGCACATCTTGCCTTACTGTAAAGGAGACTTTCTACTGTACACAGTGGCCACCCAAGCTGGATGCACTGAGGACTCCGGGCAGCAGGAGAGGGAGGGAGGCTGTGGACAGAGGTGGGCACGCTTGGGGAGCTAGTTCTGCCTCCGTCCGCTCTGAGCGGAACAAGCACAGGGGGCAGCATTGTCCTCAGTCAGTAGGTCAGCCGTACCACTGCAAAGCCCATCGCTTACCGTTCTATGACATAGAAGTTGTCTCCGTCATCTCCTTGGTCAATAACATGCTCATCAGCTTTCACTATCTTTTCAAACATGGCATCGAGGATTTCAGAGAGCTGCTCCTGCAGGTGCGCGCGGGAGAAAAGACAGCTGTTACATTTGCTGGGGTGGGGGGGTGGTGACGATGCTTATTCAGCTTGTGATTACAGAGTGAAGCCCCCAAATCAGACCATTCCCCTCTTCAAGCGGAAGCTGAAGGGCGGTTTGAAACGAGTGCCCTCCTGTGACCATTCAGCTTTGTCCCTCCATGTACACAGTGCACTTGCTAAGTGTTAATGTAAGCAAAAACAGGCATCTAAATCGTGGTGCCCCACTCTCCCAGCTACACCCACAGGACTGTTGCTGGCCTTGATGGCTCCACTATGTTATGTGTAAAGTCATATGACGTCACCTTCTTATAGGTGCTAATTTAACAGGATCATCAGATCTAAGGGGCTGGCATGGCGTTAGAAGAAGTTACTTTTGGAGCTGCTCTGACTGGCCAAGCGCATCACTTCACCTCTCTGAGCCTCAATTTTTTCATATGTATAAAGTGGCTTAATTGTTCCTAGCTTATCAATTTTTTATGCCTAGAGGAAAAAAAAATCTAAGGAAAGTACTACATAACAGGAACTCAATAAATGAGATCTACTACCAGACAGCTAATACTGCTTCAATCATTTCTTTACAACACATATAACTACTTAGCTACCAATATTACCTGCCATAACCAGAAGGTAACTGTACCAATAAGTATAAGCACAAAACAATGCTGTTAAATTCTAACAAAGCCTTGGTCGGAGTCGGGCCTGTCAGACAGGGAGATCAGTGACTGCTGGGGGCACTAAAGAATACCAGCTTCGACTCAAAGAAAGACGTTCTCTTTGGAGGCATGTGGACTGAACCCCTGGCCAGGAAATAACTTTATTGCTGAATAATTTCGTGTGATTTACTGTCTGTCAGTGTGACCATGCCATGCTACCTAAAATAACTGAGTATCACCAAAAAGGCATCTCTAGTCCCACGGCTGCATGTGTGCTGATACTGTACAAGCTGACAGATGCTAACAAGGAAGGCTTGCGGTGACCACACAGCTAGCAAACAGAGTGCTTCCCCAGGGCTGAGTGACTCCTCATTCCCAGGGAGGACTGTGGGAGTGTCTTCAGAAGACTTATTTGCAGGAGCTGGGTGGTTCAGAATTCTAATCCCATCCTCCCTGTGTCTTCATACGCGGGGGTTCCCCAGTGGGCCGAGCATCTCAGCCATTCATGTGGCCCTCAAAGTAGAGAAGATACAGGAAAATGGAAGGCTCTCTGTCTTCAAGAGGCGGTCCTGCTCTCTGTCGCCACAAGGCAGGGAAGAGAAGCCCACACAGAGATCCCTACGCTCGGGCCCTGAAGATCCTCACACTCTGTGTGGCCCCGGCCCGAGGTCTCAGTGAGAAGTAACCCCAGGAGGGCCCCCCTAAGTCTGAGAAGCAGTCGACACTCCTGTGGGGTCGCTGATGCTGATGAAGAGAACGCCACTCTGGGATCTTTGAAGAAATTACCCCGGAAGGTGAGTCGGGACCTTCAAACTAAGCCAAGGCCACGCGAACCTGAGCATTTCCTTCTCACACGACCAAACTGCACGCCTCCAAGGGAACCGCCCTGGAGAGTGTCAAAGCCATCCTGAGAAATCCTCAAAGCCATCTGAAAGGCTCCCGTGGTTACGGTGGTCACCACAGCACAGACATGTGGAAGCGAGGCGCATCTCAAGGTTATGCCTCACATGGCTGCAGCTAAGACACTGAAAACTAGTTAAGTGATAAACAGGAAAAAGCTAAAAGACAAAAACATTTTAAAATCAATGTTACCTGGTCAAGATTTCTGAAAAGGAGAATATCTTTGCAAGCTTCCTGAAGTCTGCATCTCTGCTCATCGCTTTTAGGATGAATCACCTGCCAATACAAATAAAGCCAAGGAGATGTTAAGCTCCGCTTTAAAGTCTCACTTTACTTAAAAATTGGTATATTCTCGCTGAAACCGGTTTGGCTCAGTGGATAGAGCGTCGGCCTGCGGACTGAGAGGTCCCAGGTTTGATTCCGGTCGGGGGCATGTACCTGGGTTGCGGGCATATCCCCAGTAGGAGATGTGCAGGAGGCAGCTGATCGATGATTCTCTCTCATCGATGTTTCTAACTCTCTATCTCTCTCCCTTCCTCTCTGTAAAAAATCAATAAAAAAAAAATAAAAAAAAAATTGGTATATTCTCTCTTCTAAAAAGCGGGAGTATGACGGGCATGTTTACTGTAACTTTAATTCCACACAAATACCAAGCAGTGCCCTGTGAAGGGTGTGATGGGTGAAGAACACCCGCTGGAGCCACCCACAGGCTGTGTAGTGCCAGCCAGTCAGCTCCGCCCAGGATCAATAACAACAAATCCTCAGGTTGTGACCGTGAGGCCCCACTGGTAAGGCAGACGGTTACAGATTTGTTCATTCAACAAATGTTAGGCAACTACTAGATGCCAGGCATTGTCTTACCTCTGGAGACACAGCAGTGAACACACAGACAAAAACATCTGCTCTCATCTACACTAATAAAAGACAAAGACGCTAATTGACCGTACCTTCGCTATGCCCAAGCCACGCCCACCAGCCAATCAGAGTGACTATATGCAAGGTACCCCAACCAAGACGGCGGCCAGCAGCCACGGAGCTGGAGCAAGAAGGAGGCTTGGTTGCCCCAGCGATGGAGGAAGCCAAGCTTCCCGGCTGTGGCCTCCGCAAAAGGCAACAAAGTTTCAATTATAGAAGCTAAATAAATCCCAGATACCTGCTTCCAGCCAGCCTCCACTGGGAGCTTGGGTGCCTGGGGGCTGTGTGAAAACAGCCCTCAGCCCCTCACCCAGGCTGGCCAGGCACCCCAGCAGGACCCCCACCCTGATCCAGGATACCCTTCAGGGCAAACCAGCTGGCCTCCACCCATGCACCAGGCTTCTATCCTATATAATAAAAGGGTAATATGCAAATTGATCCTAACAGCAGAGTGACTGGGAATCACTGGTCACTATGAAACACACTGACCATCAGGGGGCAGACGCTCAATGCAGGAGCTTCCCCCTGGTGGTCAGTGTGCTCCCACAGGGGGAGCTCTGCTCAGCCACAAGCCAGGCTGACGGCTGCCAGTACAGCAGTGGTGGTGGGAGCCTCTCCCGCCTCCTCAGCAGTGCTAAGGATGTCCAACTGCAGCCAGGCCTGCTCCCCGCTGGCAAGTGGACATCCCCCGAGGGCTCCCAGGCTGCTAGAGGGATGTCTGACTGCCAGCTTAGGCCCAATACCCCTGGGAAGCGGACCTAAGCCAGCAGTGGTCATTCCCTGAGGGGTCCCAGACTGCGAGAGGGCACAGGCTGGGCTGAGGGACCCTCCCGAGTGCACAAATTTTTGTGCACCGGGCCTCTAGTCTATCTATATATATAAAAGCCGAAGTGACTGTTACACCCGGTCAACCCAACAACCAGTTTGATGGGTCGCTATGATGTGCACTGACCACCAGGGGGCAGATGCTCAATGCAGGAGCTGCCCTCTGGTGGTCAGTGCACTTCCACAGCAGGAGTGCTGCTCAGCTGACAGGTGCCAGACGCAGGGCTCATGGCTGGCAAGCGCAGCCCAGAGACCGCAGCGGAGTGGCAGCAAGCCCACCAAGCGGCAAGCCTACCAAGTGGCGGCAGGCGCAGTGGGGCTGGGATGAGCAGAAGCGACAGGCGGTGTTGGACTGCTGGTTTTGGCCCAATCCCCACAGGCTACACTGAGGGACCTCACCAGTGCACGAATCGATGCACTGGGCCTCTAGTCCTATATAATAAAACCCTAATATGAAAATAGATTGAACGGCAGAACTACCAGTCACTATGATGTGCACTGACCACCAGGGGGCAGATGCTCAATGTAGGAGCTGCCCACTGGTGGTCAGTGTGCTCCCAAAGGAGTGCTGCTCAGCCAGAAGCCAGGCTCATGGCTGGTGAGTGCAGCAATGGTGGCAGGAGCCTTTACTGCCTCTGCAGCAGCGCTAAGGACCCCTTGGAGGATGTCCACCTGCAGAGGGGGCCCAGGCCAGGCCAAGGGGGATTCCCCCCAAGTGCACGAATCCGTGCACTGGGCCTCTAGTGTTCAATCAACACATGAAAGTATGTTGAAGAGCGATAGGGTAAGGAGAAAAAGAAGGCAGGAAAGGTGATAAAAGTGTGTCCAGACGTGGCCTCAGGGAGACAGTGACATCTGTGTAAGGCTCTCAAGGAGGTGAGGACGGCCCGAGGGATGAGTCACGCTGTCCGTCTGGGCAGGAAGGGCACCCCAAGCAAAGGGAACAGCAGGTACACCAGGCCTTACGCAGGTGCACAGCATGTCTGAGAGTGACCAGGAGACGGTGTGACTGATGCAGAGCCGGGGGAAGAACAGCAAGAGACCGGGTTTGGGGGCTGGGTGAGGGTGACGCCCAATCACAGAACAGGAACTTTTCTCCAGTGACATGGGGGCAATGTGAGGGCTGTGACTGAGGAAAAAGGCTGTGACGGAGTGAGAGCAGGAAGCTCGGGCCGTCCTCCCAGTGCCAGGCGGCAGTGGTCAGGGCCAGGTGGAGCACAGCGGTGCTGAGCAGAGGGGAATCGTGAGGAGGCGTTAAACACTGAGCCCCCTGGATGTGCTGCAAAATAAAATGTGGGCATGAAAAACACGAGGAGCAGGGAGTGACCCTCAGGGTTTGGGCCTGAGCAACTGGAAGGGCGGTGCTGCCAGCAGCTGAGCTGAAGAGGCTGCAGGTGAGAGGACTGTTTACGAGGAGACAGAGCACAGGACTCGTACTGTGTCTGAGTCGTTCGCTGAAATCTACGCTGCAGAGACAGAAGTAAACAATGGCTATACAAGCTAGAGTTCGAACACTAATAAATAATCGTAACAACAATAATTAGTAGTAGTAGTGGTGGTGGTATCTATAAAATTAGAGTTGCCATACAGATTAAATGAATTAATCATTCAGTGTTTAAATCAGTACCTGACATGTAGTAGATGCTCAAAACTATTACCGTTATTATACCCAATAAATACTGACTGAACTAAAAAGTAATTATTGCTCGCACTGCTGTTATAATTGAGAGATCGGTCAAGCTCCTTCCTAAGTATTGTCTCCACCCTAAAAAGAAAGGTACATCACTTAATCTAACTGGAGATAACAGATATCAAAAGTGTTAAGCATTTTGTCCTGACTGGGTTGGTGGGAGCATCGTCCTGTGCACCAAAAGGTTGCAGGTTCAATTCTCAGTCAGGGCATACACCTAGGTTACCTGTGTTTCTCTCACATCGATGTTTATCTCTCTCCCCCCCTTTCTCTCTCTCTAAAAATCAATAAAAACATATCCTTGGGTGAGGGTTAAAAAAAAAAAGTGTTGAGCGTTTTGAATTTGTTATATTAGAGTTAATAAGAAGCCCGGCCAGCTTGGCTCAGTGGTTGCGTGTCGACCTGTGTACCAGAAGGTCATGGTTTGATTCCTGGTCAGGGTACACACTCGGGTTGCGGTCTTGATCCCCAGTGTGGGGTGAGTAGGAGGCAGCTGATCAATGATTCTCTCTCATCATTGTTTCTATCTCTGTCTCCCTCTCCCTTCCTCTCTGAATCAATATAAATATATATATTTTAAACGTTAGTGAAAAGCCAATTTACTTTTTTTAAAAATTGGTTTTAGAGGAAGTAAGAGAGAAGAGAGAAAGAAACATCAATTTGTTGTTTCATGTATTTATGCATTCATTGGTTGATTCTTATATGTGCCTTGACCAGAGATCGAACCCGCAACCTTGGTGTATAGGACGATGCTCTAACCAACTGAGCTACGTGGGCCAGGGCAATTTCAATCTTAAAAGGAATATTACAATATCCAGAATAAAAATATTTTAAAGTATACATGTCTATTATACTCACACAGTGGTAGCATTTTATTATTAAAATACTTAAGGAATCTTTCATAGGCTATTCATTTTAAGGCATACTTGAAAGATCAAAGTTTCTTTTATTTATAACATCTTTTAAAAGTGATGCTTCATATTTGTTTTTGGTAACTGTAGAATTTAAAAACCTGAGTTTTTTAAAAAGTGCCCAAAAGTTAATTATAGTCCTCATAACCACTATTAATATTTGGAATATATCCTTCCAGATATAATCCTATATCATAAAATCCTAATATGTAAATCCACTGAAAGGTGGAATGACAGGTCACTATGACGCACACTGACCACCAGGAGGCAGACGCTCAACGCAGGAGCTGCCCCCTGGTAGTCAGTGCGCTCCCACAGGGGAAGCACCGTTCAGCCAGAAGCCGGGCTCACAGCTGCAGGTGGGTGGTAAGGAGTAAGGGGTCCTGGACTGCGAGAGCCCAGGAGAGAGGGATGTCTGACTGCAGGCTTAGGCCTGATCCCTGCAGGAATTGGGCTCAGGGATCGAGCCTAAGCTGGCAGACCGACATCCCCCGAGGGGTCCCAGACTGTGAGAGGGTGCAGGCCGGGCTGAAGGACCCCTCCCCCCCCAAGTGCATGAATCCATGCACCGGGCCTCTAGTTTTTCATAATATTTTTCAACCAGTTAGATTTAAAAAAGGCATTGTGTTAAGATTTTAATTTGTATTTAATTACCAGCATGATTAGATGTGGTGTGTAGAGAAGTACGGGAAGGAAACAATCCACTTATACCCTTTGTTGCGCATCTTACCCTTGGTTCTGTATCCTCCTCTTCGTCATCAGGGTTGTAGGCCTCAGCGCAAACTACATTTGGAGAGAGAAAAAGAGAGAAAAATGAATAAAACAGACGTGTGCTTTTACTAGAAAAATAAGAAGTGAATACAATTTTCTTTTCCTCACTGCTTGCTAAAGCTGTCATGATTTTTTAAATCCCTTCTTTCAATTAACGAAGGTATTGAGTACCTACTAATGCCAGGTATGCTGTTAGGTTTGAAAAGCCAGCTCTCTAGGGAGTGATAGATTCACACAGAAGAGAGATGATAAAATACAGGGTAGGGTAAAGGAGGTTTACAGTTCTTTGTATGGAAAACAATACAATAATTAATAAATAATAATACAAGAATAAACTCTGTGTTTTGCATCCTCACAACTGTAAGCCTATGTCTGCCCCAGCCTGTATCCCATCTATTGAACCCTATGGTGTTGAGGACAAGCAAGTAAGGCATGAAACAGGGGTGGAAAACCACAAAGTACACTACACGCAATACGAACATTTGGATATGGAGTGATTACGAACAGAATCAATGACAGTAACTCACATAAATGACTTAAAAATAAGAGCGGCTCAGTTGGTTGGAGCGTCGTTCAGTAGACCAAAAAAGGCTGCGGGTGCGACCCCGGGTGAGGGTACAAACCTAGGTTGTGGGTTTGACCTCCGGTAGAGGCACGTATGGGAGGTAACCCATTGATGTTTCTCTCTCTAAATTCAATAAACGTACCCTTGGGTGAGGATTAAAAAAAAAAAATAATAACTTTAGACAAAAGAAATCCTATGTGTCACACTCTGCTCTAGGTATATTAGATAAATTTAAAACCATCCTGATTTTCTGTGTAGGTAACCTGTGTTTGTGCCAGTTGCCTGTAGCACTTGTCTTTGTTGTAATTCAAAGAAAAGAAGAGGACACCACCATTCTGGTCCCTAGAACAGCATCGGGTGACGCTCTGCAGAGGGCTGTCCAGCCCCTGCTGACTCAGGCTTCGGGTAGCTGAGCCAGAGTGAACAACTGGGTGTAGATAATGACCCATTACTGTTCTCCAAGCCCTTGGTTTCCACACGAGAAGTCAGGGTGCATTTGTCTCAGATCTGCCCTACAGATTAAGGCCGACACCTTCCTGAGTTCCTAGACTCCCTGCTGCCACTCTTGGCCTGGGCACAGGTATTTAGGTGGGAGACTGAGGAAGCTGCACTGAGAGCTGCTGACCAGACACCATGTTAAACTGAAGGCCTCCTGGTTGTATCCTTAATGTGGTCATTATCAGCCCCGCTTTCTAAACTAGGAGTTCACCATGACTCCCTCTTTCTCCTCTTATCCAATGAACACATCAAAGTCTTCCTCAGCAACACTCTCCCATTTGACCTTCATTCAATCTACTCCAATCGCTACTCCTTCCTTCATGACTTTCAAAAGCCCTTCATTGTGGAGCTGGATGGGTACATGGGTATTATACTATGATTTGGACAAAAGTAGTTATTTTCATTAAAATTATTAATGTTTTGCCCTAACCGGTTTGGCTCAGTGGATAGAGCATCAGCCTGCGGACTGAAGGGTCCCGGGTTCGATTCTGGTCAAGGGCATGTACCTTGGTTGCAGGTACATCCCCAGTTGGGGGTGTGCAGGAGGCAATTGATCAATGTTTCTCTCTCATCAATGTTTCTAACTATCTCTCTCCCTTCCTCTCTGTAAAAAAATCAATAAAATATATTTTAAAAAAATAAATAAAATTATTAATGTTTCCATTTGTGTAAAAACATTGACTTTATTTTTCAAAACTGGTTCTGATTTTTCCCCTTTCTTCTGAACTCCCTGCCCTTTGCCCTCTTCCTCTGTTTACACTCAGCCTCTCTATTTCCTGGTCCTGATGCCAAATTAATGTTCTCATTTTCTGCATAGAAATCCACTCTAAGTGTCTATGTGATTGTTGCCCTTATGGTTCACAGAGCAGGAAGCTTTCTCAGTGCACAGGTTCCCTGGGGGAGGCTGTATGGTCCCCTACTGCAGCCTCAAGAACTATACCGAGTGCCTTGAGACGCTGAAGACCTGGTGAAGACCTACTTCCTTCCTTCCTTCCTTCCTTCCTTCCTTCCTTCCTTCCTTCCTTCCTTCCTTCTTTCCTTTTTCTTCCTTATTTTTTTTGTTAATCCTCACCTGAGGGTATTTTTCCATTGCCTTTTTTTTTAAGAGACAGTGGAAGGAAGGAGTAGAGACAGAAACATCAATGTGAGAGACACACATGGACTGGTTGCCTCCTGCATGCACCCCAACCCGGGGCCAGGGATCAAGCCTGCAACCTTGGTACATGCCATTGATCGGAATTGAACCCGGGATCCTTCAGTCTGTGGGCTGACACTCTAACCACTGACCCAAACGGGCTAGGGCTCTTCCCGTTCTTATAAGGACTCCTGTCCTATTGGACTAGGGCCTCATCGTTAAGGCCTCATTTAACCTTGATTAACCTCTTTAAAGGCCATATCTCTAAATGCAATTACACTGAGGTTGGGCCTCAACATATGATTTTGAGGGAGACACACAATCCATAACACTGGTTTCTAAGTTATTTTAAGCAATATTTAGTATTTTACCCCAAGACAGCTATGAATGGAAAAAGTACTGAACACTGTGAGAGGCTATAGAGAAGACACCCTGAATCTACGTACACTGCAATGTGTGAGCCTTAGAGGCAGGGGCGCTGGCACAGGCACCCATCGGGCAGAGTGAGTGAGCGACTGTGCTACGTCAGCACCAGTCAGACGCTCCCTCCGACCGGTGACATGACGCCCAACACACACATCTCCAAGTAGCATGCTTCGAAGCGTCAGGACACACTTAATAAATGAACAGGGGTTTTTTTGGATGAAGTTTTTAAATTAACAGAATCAGACTAACATGTCAAACTCCAAGATAGCTCACATAGAAAGCTGCCTTTAGAGATTCATAAACTGTTCACTCCATGTAGAGGCTGCTCTGCTAGGACTCGGAAGGCACAGCTTCTCAACCCCAGTGCTTGCGGGGAAGGCGGCCTCAGGAGGGGAGAGCTCACCTGTGACATCACGCACACTGGGTCCCGAAACTGGGTCCGCCCACCCCTTGCCCACTTTTCTCCATGTCCCCGATCCTTGGACTCTTTTTTTTAAAATACATTTTATTGATATTTTACAGAGAGGGAGAGGGATAGAGAGCTAGAAACATCGATGAGAGAGAAACAGCGATCAGCTGCCTCCTGCACATCTACTGGGGATGTGCCTGCAACCCAGGTACATGCCCCCGACCGGAACCGAACCTGGGACCCTCCAGTCCGCAGGCCGACGCTCCATCCACTGAGCCACACCGGTTTCGGCTTGGACTCTTTAATGACAGAGGGGGTGGCAATACTAGAGCCACGCACAGGGAGGATATAGCGGGGCTGGGCCAGGGGGCACTCAGTAGCCGCTCGGCCCCACGCTGCTCCGTGCTCCGTTACTGTGGCAGCAGCCGAGCTGGCGTCTCCCCTGCAGGATGACACAGCTCACACGTCCTCACACGCCTAGTCTTTGCTTAAGTCTTTGAATCATATCAGGAGCCCCAACCCCCACCTGTCCTTCCGCTGTTATTTTACCTCCTCCCCTCCCGCCAGAGCAGCCAGGTCCAGCTCATCCCCCTGCGAGTGTTAAGACACTGTCCCAACTAGAACGCATCCTTCAGGTACTGGCCAAACTAGGAGCCATGTTCTCCAGCTCCCAGGGCAGTCCCTGCCTCCCTCCAAGAAGTGCTTCTTCAGGGCTGGGTGCCAAGGTGTGGTGACATTCACTGATCAAAGAATGTAAGGGGAGGCGAGAGGAAGTGAGGACGAGTGAAAAGGAGGCCGGATCAATGACTTGCCAGGGCTGGAGCAGGAGCTGAGAAGGCAGCAGGTCAGGTGACAGGATGGGCATCACCGACGAAAATGTGTCATATCAGAGCGTGACCACGGGAGTACAGGGTGGAAGACAAGATCCTTGGGAGAGAGGAGGTCAAGGACCAGAAGGGCGAGGCAGTGGAAGGGTTATCTGTGTAGAAATAAAAAGGGCCCGGCCGCTGAGGCTCGCTGGCTGAGCGTCGACCTATGAGCCAGGAGGTCACTATTCTATTCCTGGTCAGGGCACATGCCTGGGTTGTGGGCTTGATCCCCAGTGTGGGGCGAGCAGGGGACAGCCGATCCATGATTCTCTCCCATCACTGATGTTTCTCTCTCTCTCCCCCTCTCCCTTCCTCTCTGAAATCAATAACAATATTTTTTTAAAAAAGAAAAGGGGCAGTATGGGGATTATTAGATGACTGCTAGTAAAACAAGGAGGGATAGTGGCTGGTAGAATATAACAATGAGAGGTTTGAAGCCGAGAATTTTAGGAAGGAGGGAAAGCAAACGGTTTGAAAGCAGCCACGAGCAAGGAGAGAAGCACAGACCCATCTCCTGTCAGTGTTACCAGGAAGGTGGGCGAGAACAGCGCCGCACTGGAGAAGCCTGCAGGGTGAGCTAAGCTTCAGCTGGAGCAGAGGAAGCTACACTCAGAAGACAGGCTGAGAACCAGGGGGTCCACCTGAAGCCTGACGAGAAAGGGTCTGAGTGACAGGGAGAAAGCACCTAGGCCCACCTAGGGCACACCGTCACCTCGACTCTTGCAAGCGACCTAATCTCTGCTTTGCTCGTTTCCTGTCTGTACACGGGGATAATCATGGCATGTACCTATAGTGTCAATGTAAGAATTATATTCAACAATACAAGGCAGGCATCGAGAAAGACCTTAAAACGTGCACCGAGCACACAGTCTGTACCTTAGCTATTGCTACAGGCTGCTTTCTCTTCTGCATAATTATTTCAGAATCTTTTATTTTCACTTAACATTTGAGTAACATTAAAAAGTCTTAGATGTTCAATAAGCTTATGAAATGTAAGGGGGAGGATGATAACATGTGCTTGTCTGAGTCTGCAGTTCAAGGACTGTGGACACCGGAAGCTCAGCAGCAATCCATGAGCTCACACCACGGCGACCTCTGCAGGAGATGTCGCTCTGTCCTCCATCTCCCTCATCTGTCCTGCAGATGCCAAGGGATATACTAATCTTTCTGGAAAACAGGGATGCAGGGCAAGGATGAACAGAAATGGGAGATCATCACTCACAGGTTTTGCACCAACCTGAATCTCTTCTCCATTTCCTCTCTGTAAATAACTCTACACATAAGAACACATTCTTGTATCTCCTTTCAACAGACGTCGGTGCACAATGTTACCAAAGGCTTTCTGGACAAATGAGTAGCTTTTCTCAAAGAAAAGGATTCCAGGACAGAAAGGTTAAGTGAAGGTGAGTGACATTCCAAGAACAAGGTGACATGAAAGAACAAGGTGACACGTGTAGCTTGAGTGACAATCTGAGAGACACTAACATCCCAATATACAACCAAACCAACTCTACTGTTACTCAACTCGCTAATAAAAGCCCTTTCTCTAAAAATGAAACAAAGGAACACTGGAAGTATCCAGAAGCCACACACTTTAATTACATGAAAAACTTTTGGAAAATATATTTATCAGCTCTATGAAAAAGGGGGTATCCTCCCGACCTGGCAGGTGTGGCTCAATGGTTGGGTGTCAACCTATGAACCAGGAGGTCATGGTTGGATTCCCAGTCAGTGCACATGCCCAGGTTGTGGACTCGATCCCCAGTGTGGGGCGTGTAGGAGGCAGCTGATCAGTGATTCTCTCTCATCATTGATGTTTCTATCTCTCCCTTCCTCTCTGAAATCAATAAAAAGATATTCTTTAAAAATGGGGGGTTCCTTCTCAGCTTAGGAGCAATCATGAAAAAAAAAAAGAAGAGGATGTATATATTCAACCAATATTTGCTGAGTGCCTGCTATATACCAGGCAGTTCAAGGTACCAGTTACATAAGAAAAAATTTGAGTACATAAAAAAATAGCAAAACTAAAATAAATAGCACAACCAATGTGGAAAACTTTGCATTAATAATTTCAAAAGGTTAAAAATTATGGCAGAAATTTACTCAAACTTACAAAAATAATCTAGACCATAATAGATAAGAGATTAAAGTATTACCAAATTAGTTCTATATGGGAAAATAAAAATGGATTTCCCATGTTTGGAAAACACTAATTTCGTTAATAATCAAGGGAGTGCCAGATAAACAATCTGAGCTACATGGTCCATCTGGCTCGGGGACACCGGGAAGTGGCTGGAGAGGAGGCCTGTGGGGGTCTCCCTGCAGGCTAAAGCCTCTCCAGACAGCAACGCACAGGGAAAGGGAGTGCAGCGCTCAGTCTCTGGCCAGGGCAGGCCCCGCTCACACTAAAACTGAGGAAACAATGGTGTAAGTGGCTGGGAAATGTAGGCAAGGCATTAACGGCAGCATAACTTAGAAAACCAGAAATAGTAATGCCGGTGAAAGTCGTTTTTAGAAGCCACAATTATGAACATGGAAAAATAGTAATGACAGAATAATTAACTAAATCTAGTAATATAAAAATACACACATATATACTCTGAACTGAAAATAAAATAGAATGAAAGAATCAGAAAATTTTTGTAATGTTCTGAATGCTGTTAACTTTTTATTAAAAAGATCAGTTTGTTTTTATTTAAGATAACCCCATCTTAAAACATAGCAGTATGTTTTGAAAGAGAACATATACCTGATACTCGCCGATCATATCTACTAGGGGGTGGAACTGCAAAAGAAAGAAGAAACAACATTTAGTCATCAGAATATCATATGACCCCATTTATCCTCCCATTTTGCAAAGATCTTTGACAATAGAACTAGGCACCACAACACCAAGTACTGGGTCAATTCACATGCTTCCATAATCAACCACAGACAGTTCAGCATGATCATATAAAGACAATATAAAGAATACAGATGATGTATTATAGAATTGTACCTCTGAAACCTATATAATTTTATTAACCAATATCCCCCCCAATAAATTCAATTAAAAAGACAATATAGAGAATAATATGTCTCTTCAAAAAAAGGCTCTTTATAACTTCAATGTACTTAAAGGTGACAATTTTATTTCTGCTCACATCCACGTTCCATCTAATTTATATCATACCAAATGAATAAGAAATCTACCAAATGTATTGGTAATGTTATCACATCAAATAGTTAAGTTTCCTTTAATATTCTTTAAAAACAATCCCAAGACCTGCTAGATAATAGCATTTAAGTTTCATTTTCAAATAATTTACTGAGTATTACAGGAAAATGAAAAATAAATTAACCATTAAGTTACAGTCTCAATTATGGGTGGATTTTCTCCTGCCCGTGGTTAGTGTAAAGAAAAAACAACAAAAACCCACACACTTTATCTTTGCTAATTTTTCTATTTTTCACTTGTCATTCCTTGTTTGATGGTTACCTAAATTCTCACTACTAAACTATATCATCTTAAGCTTCTTTTTTTTTTATCTTCAAAGCTTAATCTGATTATCTTTATTCTTTAAAAAAAAATCTGAGAACCAAGATGGCGGCATAGGTTAACGCCGGAGTTTGCTGCCTTGAACAACTACTTCAAAAGTGAAACTAAAAGACGGAACGGACATCACCCAGAACCACAGGAACGCTGGCTGAGTGGAAGTCCTACAACTAGGAGGAAAGAGAAACGCATACGGACACTCAGAGGAGGCGCAGTGCTGAAGTCAAATTCTGAGGTGCGGAGTGCGCGCAGCGGGCTGGCGGCAGAGGGCGCGGTTGGCGTTTTCAATCGGGGGGGTTGGGGGGGGAGTTGCAGACTCTAAGCTCCAGATACGGGCGAGTCTTTAGGGACCCAGACTCAAACGGGAGAAGCGGGACTGTCTGGCTTCGGTCAGAGCGAGTGCAGCTTTCTCTCCGAGGTTTGCAGTGGGTGCTGGGACTCAGAGAGGCAGAGCCCCGGGGGACAGGACTGAGAGCCGCCATAACTGCTCTCTCCGGCCCACCCTGTTGATCCTGTTCGACCCGCCCCGCCCAAGCCCTGCACAGAGGCATTTGCCGGATAGCCTCAGGCAAAGGCTAGATTAGCACCTCCCTAGAGGACAGAAGTTTTCTCACTGCAGACACAGCTGATTCTCATAGCCACTTGGCCTGGAGGTCAAACCCTCCCTGGTATTAGCTACAACAATCAAGGCTTAACTACAAGACTGCGCACAAAGACCACTAGGGGGTGCACCAAGGAAGCATAACAAAATGCGGAGACAAAGAAACAGGACAAAATTGTCAATGGAAGATATAGAGTTCAGAACCACACTTTTAAGGTCTCTCAAGAACTGTTTAGAAGCCGCCGATAAACTTAATGAGATCTACAAGAAAACTAATGAGGCCCTCGATGTTATATTGGGGAACCAACTAGAAATTAAGCATACACGGACTGAAATAACGAATATTATACAGACTCCCGACAGCAGACCAAAGGAGCGCAAGAATCAAGTCAATGATTTGAAATGTGAGGAAGCAAAAAACACCCAACCGGAAAAGCAAAATGAAAAAAGAATCCAAAAATGCGAGGATAGTGTAAGGAGCCTCTGGGACAGCTTCAAGCGTACCAACATCCGAATTATAGGGGTGCCAGAAGATGAGAGAGAGCAAGATATTGAAAACCTATTTGAAGAAATAATGACAGAAAACTTCCCCCACCTGGTGAAAGAAATGGACTTACAGGTCCAAGAAGCGCGGAGAACCCCAAACAAAAGGAATCCAAAGAGGACCACACCAAGACACATCATAATTAAAATGCCAAGAGCAAAAGATAAAGAGAGAATCTTAAAAACAGCAAGAGAAAGAAACTCAGTTACCTACAAGGGAGTACCCATACGACTGTCAGCTGATTTCTCAACAGAAACTATGCAGGCCAGAAGGGAGTGGCAAGAAATATTCAAAGTGATGAATACCAAGAACCTACAACCAAGATTACTTTATCCAGCAAAGCTATCATTCAGAATTGAAGGTCAGATAAAGAGCTTCACAGATAAGGAAAAGCTAAAGGAGTTCATCACCACCAAACCAGGATTATATGAAATGCTGAAAGGGATCCTTTAAGAAGAGGAAGAGGAAGAGGAAGAAAAAGGTAAAGATACAAATTATGAACAACAAATATGCATCTATCAACAAGTGAATCTAAGAATCAAGTGAATAAATAATCTGATGAACAGAATGAACTGGTGATTATAATAGAATCAGGGACATAGAAAGGGAATGGACTGACTAGTCTTGGGGAGGAAAGGGGTGTGGGAGATGCGGGAAGAGACTGGACAAAAATCGTGCACCTATGGATGAGGACAGTGGGTGGGGAGTGAGGGCGGAGGGTGGGGTGGGAACTGGGAGGAGGGGAGTTATGGGGGGAGAAAAAGAGGAACAAATGTAATAATCTGAACAATAAAGATTTAATAAAAAAAAAACATGAAAAAAAAATAAAATAAAAAAAATCTTCTCAACTTTCAAAAATGAGAAATGTATTTGTGAAAAACAAATTGAAGGCAGCTTAGAGAGCCTAACTGAACTAATGTGAGGTCTCTGAGACAAACAGACCCAGGAAGGAGGCAAATGCTTAGCCTATATAATAAAAGCCTAATACACTGTGTCCCTTCGACTGGTCAGCCATTCAACCAATCAAAGCATAATATGCTAATGATAGGCTAAGGCCACTCAACCACTCATTATGATGTGCACTGACCACCAGGGGGCAGTCAGCTGGTCAACCAGTTGCTATGATGTGCACTGACCACCAGGGGGCAGACAGCTGACCTGTAGGTTAGCTTGCAGCTGGGGTCCAGTTGATCAGGACTGAGCAAGACAGGCGGGACATGCCCTGGAGCCCTCCCGCAGCCCCTCTCTGGCTGGCCAACATCCCGAGTCTCTCTCTGGCCCCGTGCACCGGGAGGGTCCCTCAGCCTGGCCTGCGCCCTCACAATCAGGGACCCCTTGGGGGATGTTGGAGAGTTGATTTCAGTCCAATCCCTCAGGCCAAGCCGAGGGATCCCACTGGTGCATGAATTCATGCACCAGGCCTCTAGTTTATTATAAAGGGTTAGAATTATCTTTCTGCTCAGCATGGGATCAAAAACAAGTTACTGGAACAAATGGGGGAGGAAGGAATCAAAAGACAGCCCCAGTCATTACTGACAGAAAGTCCCTCTTTACTTCTTCAATGAAACAGTAGATTAGTCAAAAAGAAAGATGATAAATTCAGTTCAAGTACAGGTACTATGTGCCATGCACTGTAGTAGACAATTTGGGAGACATCAGTGAATGAAAAAAAAAGCCTCCTGATTTCATGGAGCTTGCACTCTAGTTTGATGGGCATGGGACAGGTTTCTTTGATCATTTGAAACACAAGTGCCTGTCACTCAGGTAGTAGAAGAAATAAAATGTACATCAGCTGAAGCTCTCATCCCAGGCCTTACGGTTTCTATAATTAAAGCCCACTCAACACTGGTATACAACCTAAAATTACAAAACACACACTGAAGTAATTCAGCATGGGTGCTAGCAGAGGACACCTCAAACAAAGCAGAAGACATCATCAAGAGTATAGAACTATCATAAAGAACAGTGTGTTTAAAACAATTAAAATCTCAAAAGCATAGGGAAGAATAAGATTCAACCAAAAACAACCAGGAGATTTGAAAAACAAAAAAAAACAACTTGAAGCCGAAACCGGTTTGGCTCAGTGGATAGAGCGTCGGCCTGCGGACTGAAGGGTTGCAGGTTCGATTCCGGTCAAGGGCATGTACCTGGGTTGCGGGCACATCCCCAGTAGGAGATGTGCAGGAGGCAGCTGATCGATGTTTCTCTCTCATCGATGTTTCTAGCTCTCTATATCTCTCCCTTCCTCTCTGTAAAAAATCAATAAAAATATATTTAAAAAAAAACAAAAAAAAACAAACAACTTGAACATCTAAGAGAAAAATAACAGCCACTGAAATTAAAAACTATAATGCAAGGCATATTCTTAGTATATAACACCTAAAAATGGTAAAAATCCAAGATGCAAAATGATATCATCTTATTTATAGAAAACTTTACAGAATCCACAGACATGATAAAATTTCACTTTTATTCTGTCAAATCATATTTTATATAACTAATTCAAAGTAAACAAAATATGTACACAGCCTTTATTATTTGTTTACTGATTGCTTTTAGAGAGAAAGGGAGAGGTGGAGAGAAACATCAATTTATTTTCCCACTTATTTATGCATTCATTGGTTGTTGTTGTTTTAAATATTTTTTATTGATTTTTAGAGAGGAAGGGAGAAGAAGAAAAGAACATTGATAAGAGAGTAAAACATCCATCAGTTGCCTCCTGTATGCACTCTGACTGAGGGTCAAGCCTGCAACCTTTGAACTGGCAACCTTTCAGTGCATGGACACTCAATCAACTGAACCACATGGGCCAGGGCTGTTTTCTTTAAAGCTAGAAGAGGAAGGGGGGAGGGGGAAGAGAGAGACATCAATTTGTTGTTCCATTTATTTATGCATTCATTGGTTGCTTCTTGTATGTGCCCTGATCTGAGATCCAACCAGTGACCTTGGTGAACTGGGATGATGCTCTAACCAATTGAGCTAACTGGACGGCCTACATGTATAGTCTTTAAAATAAACAATGTGTTAATACAAATAAAGTTTCGTACAAAAAGATGAGAAAAAAATAATAGTGTTGAAATTCACTTAATTTGTTTCACAATATAC